GCAGAGATAAATCCCAAAGGAACTTCTCACAAAAAGTTCGCGAACGAGAGATGATAAAAAGTTCATGAAAGCCTAGAGCGAGAGACATTTTCATTTCGTATCGCGAAAGATCTTTCGTCTCTCCATCTCACATCATTTCACACGTACTCGTGATTCGAACCAACCAAATATCCCCTCAGCTTTGTTCTTTTTTTTTCCAGCGAGTAAAGGTAGGCGATGGTCACGCGAGAGAACTTTGAGATTTGGGCGTAATTGCTTTTGTAAACAAACACGTCATTCAGCGATTTCTCACGAATCAAAGCACAATCTAGCGAACTATACTATACCAAATGAATCATTCCTCTACCTGTCTGTGTTGTTGGTTTTTTAGATTGAACTTTAATTCACGAGAAATCGGCGAATTAAGTGTGTGTTTACAAAAGAAATTACGCCCTAATCTCAAAGTTTTCCGGATTTATTTATAGTTTTAGTTCTCAATGCAACCAGCTAATAGTAGACACTTGTAACTATTCACCAAGAGTCTAATCTTTGCTGACCAAATCATCATTTGTGGCTGTATACTCTTCGACAAGAAGAACTATGCTATTAGTGCGAAGTACAGTTAGACCACTGAGATTGGCGCTTAGAAATGTTTAGTGTTAGTTTAGTTTATAAAGGTATTAATATGGGAAAAGTGATTATTTTGTTCACCTCGTCTTTAAATTTCGACATAATGATCTACCAATAAATTTGCCTTGTGTACTCATAGGAAATTTTCTCAGCTACATTTTTTTTCTAAAGACCACTTTTTAATTTAACGTTGAGGAAATTAGTTATTAATTGATTTCTAATCTGCTAACTTTCTGATTTGATCACTCGACTGCATTAGGTAGAGGACAGCAATGTAACCCAGTAGCTCGCCCGGTAGCTTGAATTTCCACACAACCTTGAATGAAAATATTAAATTTGCTGGTCACTGGTGCCATAAAGCTACTGTACCTTTTTTCACGGATCTCAAACTGCAAAAAAATCTATTAAACATCGATTCTAAAAAAATAGTTTACTTGATAATTTTTATTCAGCAGGTGTATTCACTTGGGAATCTATCACTTCGCAAGTTGAAAGTATTTTGAGATTGTCTGTTAATTTCAAGTCTTGCAATACTTGTGGATGGAAAATTTAGATCGTTCTCAATCTGTCACTATATCAAAAGCTCAATGTACCTGGTACTTTGATTAATTTTGTGTTCATTTCCAGCCAACTGGTAATAATTTTTTGTTTTCTTTTTTTTTTCTGCCTATATTTTTACAGTTTTAATGGACATTGAATAACCTGTTTAAATTTTTTATCATCCTAAAATGCACACTAAAAATATGTTTTTGTCAGATCCTTGGTCAGCAAATAAAGCGTTTTGAAGTTCAGCAGTGCAGCAGTCCCGCATACCTTATGGTTTTACATAGGGAGGGTCTAGACCCTTTCTAGTTTTATATTGTTTTACAGGATTCCCAGTCATGGGAGAGGACAGTAATAGCCAGTGCTGTAAATTTTCATATCATTCGATTGAAGATGAACCACTACAACCATTCAATCAATTCTGTGTAAACGAATTCTCACATGACCATAATTTGAAGAGCCCATTTCTTATTCGAAGCTCATTGTCACTGTCAATTGAGTCACTCAGTATCATTTGATATACGACAGTGGAGCATGGAAGAAATCCAGGAAAATGGTCCGGAACAGACAAGTCGACCCGATGTCGGATCAATGTAAGGCTAATTTAAGGTCGATTTCGACCCAATGTTCGTTTATGTCGGGTCAATGTCGGGTCAACATCGGGTTGGGGTTTGATAGAAGTCAGGTTGGTGTCGGGTTGGCTTAGCTTTTTCGCCGGAATGTCGACCAGAGCTCCGTTTGTGTGTAGGTTACACTCAATCGAATGATATATAGCGTTTCTCAAATGAGAATGATCCATGCCTTCGTCAAATGACTAAACAACTGATATCACCCATTCGGAGGAGGTCCCCTTTGATAGCGAATAGCTACTTTTCCCATTTTCATCAAAAATGTTCAAATGATTTTGAGAATTTACAGCACTGGTAATAGCATAGTGAAAAAGTTCACCACCACCTATATTCCCAACCACCCCCCTGCATATAATTATTGCATAAGAGCTTACAGGAACGATATTACGAACACTAGTGATGAGAGGAGCCATGCATTAACTGTATTTCGTGAAAATGAGGATACATTAGGCGCTCCTCCTTCCGCAACCCCCTATCCTGAGGAACGGTTTTAATATAAAAATGGCTAGTCACAAAATCTTACACTACCCTCCCCGTTCCTCGTTAATGTCGCGTTGACACTTGTGCTGATTCATTCATTTTTTTTGCCAGAAACCAATGCACCAATCAATCAGTTGCACAAAACTGTTCACATCATCCTGATAACGGCTACTTTAAACGACAGGCGCCAGTAGACAGCCAGGTACCAGACTTATCAGTCTTTAGAGATTGTATTGATTTACTCGGGATAGCTTTCTGTCTATAATCTTTCCCTTGTGAAATGTGCAGTGCAATTTTCAAGAACAAATGTGGTGTAAAGAGATAGAGAGAAAAAATGATCTGATATTTTTCGTATCCTCACGTTGGTGATTCGAGTTAAAAAAGTTCGCTCAGGAAATATTGGAGTGTGAAACTAGTGAGGGAAAGTTCCCAAGAGAAAACGTATCGCAAGCGAAAATGATATTTTGGTGAGAATTCCTTCAATGAGTACAGCAAAGGACAGCCAGGCCTTAGCCTAAATGATAAGGTGAGCATGATTCTTATTTGTATATCCCAAGTAACCATCAAGCCCGCTAATCGCCTTTTTTGCAATATACACGGGAAAAAATCCGATCTTCGAAATGAGAAAAATGACTCACAGCGTATTTTCATGTTATAGACAATCAGTACTTATATAAAATGAAAGGCAAAAGGCGTATAATAGAAACCTATGTAGTGCGGTTTATGAACACGGTTTGCCAAGTACGTGTTACGCTTGTAGCGGTCTTGATTCCACTACATTATGAAATCATGAATTTACATGACGAAATCATGATTCATTGTTACGATTTCATGGGATGGCAAGTTTTTTCATTTCATGATTTTTGATTCATGAAAGTGGAATCGGATTTGCTTCCGTGTAAAACTGCCCAACTAACCAAAAGTTCCGCATTCAACGATTAAAATCATTTCCAAGCTCCACAAAGTTCAAATAAAGTTCCGACAGAACTTTCAAGTTCCATAAAGTTCGAATAAAGTCCCGGCAGAATTTTCAAGTTCCATAAATTTTAAATAAAGTTCCGACAGAATTTTCAAGTTCCATAAAGTTCGAGCAAAGTCCCGACAGAACTCTCAAGTTCCATAAAGTTCAAATAAAGTTCCGACAGAACTTTCAAGCCACATGAAGCAATCCGCACAAGTCTTTATTAGTAACACAATTTAATGTGCTTAAATATGAAATGATCAGTGGCCCAAATAAATCATAATTTTTATATTTATGCAGTGCATCAACATTCTATCCAAACATAAAAAAAATTAATTAAAAAGTAATTTCTTGGATTCGAACCCGTGTTTTTTCGGACATGCAATCTACGAACGCTAACCACTGCGCCACAAGTGTGTTGGAACACCATGCGGGCAAACACCAACTTAAAATTCATCAAGGTGTTGTGTTTCGTATTCAAGTCAGTCAGCTGGCTCTGAAAAATCCAACATTAGGCAAGACAACAGCTCTTTATATTATATCTCAGATGACGCAGCGGTTCGTGCTGGGGCTCTCACGCAGAAGCTGAGTTTAATTCTTCAAAAGCTCCAATTCTACTACTAATGCTGATATCGATAATCAATTCACATTAATACCTGTCTTTAGAAATAACTTTCATAAATGAGCGAACTAAACTATATTGGTGTAGAGGGCAAAAACCTTTTTTAAGTTCCGTTCAAGTTCCACCAGAAGCTGCTTGGAATACTCTTCAATTATGATACCATTACTTTCAAGTTCTTATAACGACTTAAAAATGAGGTTGCTTAGAATTCTATAGACTACCTCCAACCAAGCTGCTTAAGCCACAAATAGCCTTTTATCAGAACTTTTGGTTACTTGGGTGATATACGGCTGATAAAAAGTATGGAAGCCATATATTAACCTTATATTGCACAAAAGGCGATTATCGGGCTATTAGCGGGCTTGCTGGTTACTTGGGATCACTTGCTCATTCCGAAATTATTGTTCCAGCCCCGTTCTACGGTAGCATAAATGATGCAGTGTGTGATATGGCGTGTCGCATCCAGGAAAGAATCTGAATCGCGCTCGTCTTAATAGATAATTTGAGTGAGACAAAAACGTGATTTCGTTAGATGCTTTACCGTGCACTCTAGATGGGATTTCTCCTCTCCTAACGGGTCTGATTAGCTTGATCACGTTGATGAAATGGATTTTTAAAGGGGTCTTGTTTTGAATGCTTCCGCCTTTTGTGCATTTGCATTGTATGAAGCAGTTGCTTGAAGTTCTGATCGTATAATAACAATAATCAATTTACGTTATTAGAATGAATTTCATATTCTGATTCTGCGGTCACACAAGAAGTAAGGAACTTCAATTATCTCGTTCCAACATTTCGGTGCTGGCTTTGGGACCTTCTGCAGAGATAAACATTTAATCTTTCTTGCTTAGAATTGCAGTCCTGTGTTGTTCTAGCTTGTCGACAGGTTTCATGCGAAGCCTGAATTCAAAATTTATTTCAAAATTAATGATGTTAGAAACCGACAATGAAACGTCAGAACCTGGTTTATCCTGTTCTACTTTTAAATCATCCTGGTTAAACTCGTAAGCAAACCTAAGGATTCACAACCCACGGCTTAACACCTTTGACGTCAACTTATGAAACCCTACTGCCCTACTGCACTTCAAACGACCACTCACTCAGCACAACCTTCACTTGTTTCACTGTTCTCAAGTTTTGCACAAACAATGCTACAAACCTGCTGTAAATCAACCAAAATCCCTTCGTCAACGCCTCCAACAAGTAAACACGACCTTTCCCGGTTGATCCGTTACCATCTATCACTGACAAGTCGTAAAGTTACTCGCGTCACACACGGGATCACACGTCTGATGCCACTGGTGTTCTCTTCCGGAGAAACACGTCGTTCTTGGCCGCGGTCTGAAGATGAACTGAGTTGCCGTAGCTTTATACATGTAGCTCTCGTCTCTAGCAACGTCTCTTGGTCGCGGTTATGATTGGACAGATGGAATCAGTTTGCCGTAACTTTCTGGACTGCAACGTCTCTAGGTCGTGGTTATGATTGGGAAGATGGAATAAGTTTGCCGTAGCTTTCTGGGCTGGGTTTTCCCTACTGCTGTAAACAGAAGGGAACGTGCGTTTTGTGCATTTGCATTGTATGAAGCAGTTGCTTGAAGTTCTGATCGTATAATAACAATAATCAATTTACGTTATTAGAATGAATTTCATATTCTGACTCTGCGGTCACACAAGACGTAAGGAATTTCAATTATCTCGTTCCAACATTTCGTTGCTTGTCTTGGGACCATCTTCAGAGATAAATATTTAATCTTTCTTGTTAATATTATGTTTAGTCCTATTAATATTGCTTAGAATTGCAGTCCTGTGTTGTTCTAGCTTGTCGACAGATTTCATGCGAAGCCTGAATTCAAAATTTATTTCAAAATTAATGATGTTAAAAATCGACAAAAGGGGGCGACCCCGGCGTAGTGGTTAGCATCCATGCCTCTCACGCCAAAGTCACAAGTTCAAATCTCACCCCCGGACAAGTCACGAATGACCCAAGAGTGTTAGAGTGACTATAATATAAAAAAAAAACCCGAAAATGAAACGTCAGAACCTGGTTTATCCTGTTCTATTTTTAAATCATTCTCGTTAAACTCGTGAGAAAACATAAGGATTTACAACCCACGGCTTAACACCTTTGACGTCAACTTATGAAACAGCACTCCAGCATTTTGTCTTGAAAACGTGCCCTACTGCACTTCAAACGACCACTCACTCAGCACAACCTTCACTTGTTTCACTGTTCTCAAGTTTTGCACAAACAATGCTACAAACCTGCTGTAAATCAACCAAAATCCCTTCGTCAACGCCTCCAACAAGTAAACACGACCTTTCCCGGTTGATCCGTTACCATCTATCACTGACAAGTCGTAAAGTTACTCGCGTCACACACGGGATCACACGTCTGATGCCACTGGTGTTCTCTTCCGGAGAAACACGTCGTTCTTGGCCGCGGTCTGAAGATGAACTGAGCTGCCGTAGCTTTATATATGTAGCTGGACATAAAAGTTGAGTCTACTGCTGTAAACTGCATTCCATGCATTTTGACTAAAAAAATGTTTTAATACATTATGGCATAATAAGAAATTATGAAAAAACACTAATAAACTAGCCTGTGATCTTGCCTTTCTTATTAATGGATCACCAAAGTCGCTTGGTCGCAGTTATGATTGGCAAGATGGAATAAGTTTGCCGGAACTTTCTGGGCTGCAACGTCTCTAGGTCGCGGTTATGATTGGCAAGATGGAATAAGTTTGTAGGAACTTTCTGGGCTGCAACATTTGATTGTGTAAACAACTGGCTAGCCTGTGATCTTGTCTCTCTTATTAATGGATCACCAAAGTCGCTTGGTCGCGGTTATGATTGGCAAGATGGAATAAGTTTGCCGGAACTTTTTGGGCTGCAACATTTGATTGTGTAAACAACTGGCTAGCCTGTGATCTTGTCTCTCTTATCAACGGATCACCAAAGTCGCTTGGTCCCTGTTATGATTGGAAAGATGGAATAAGTTTGCCGGAACTTTCTGGGCTGCGACGTCTCTAGGTCGCGGTTATGATTGGCAAGATGGAATAAGTTTGTAGGAACTTTCTGGGCTGCAACATTTGATTGTGTAAACAACTGGCTAGCCTGTGATCTTGCCTCTCTTATTAACGGATCACCAAAGTCTCTTGGTCGCGGTTATGATTGGCAAGATGGAATAAGTTTGCCGGAACTTTTTGGGCTGCAACATTTGATTGTGTAAACAACTGGCTAGCCTGTGATCTTGTCTCTCTTATCAACGGATCACCAAAGTCGCTTGGTCCCTGTTATGATTGGAAAGATGGAATAAGTTTGCCGGAACTTTCTGGGCTGCAACGTCTCTTGGTCGCGGTTATGATTGGGAAGATGGAATAAGTTGCCTTTCTGGGCTGGGTTTTCGCTACTGCTGTAAACAGTAGGGAACGTGCGTTTTAGTAGTGCATGCAGCAAGATGTACTACACAGTATCAATTTAATTGAGATGGAGGGTGTGCGTCATCGGCTCATGTTTATATTCTTCTATGAAATCCTACTGCTGAAAACAGTAGGGAACGTGCATGCAGCAAGATGTCCTACTCAGCCAACGTCTCTAGGTCGCGGTTATGATTGGGAAGATTGAATAAGTTGCCTTAAATTTCTGGGCTGGGTTTTCCCTACTGTTGTAAACAGTAGGGAACGTGCGTTTTAGTAGTGCATGCAGCAAGATGTACTACTCAGTATCAATTGAATTGAGATGGAGGGTGTGCATCATCGGCTCATGTTTATATTCTTCTATGAAATCTATACACCACGGAGTACAAATTGATCAGACTGTTTTGACGAATCCAACTTAAACTCATGTGCGCCTGGTGCACTACCCGACGATTATCAGGTAGTGGCAGCCCTTGGTAATTTCATTATTTTTTTTTGGATAATTTCACCTGAACATTGCATTAAGTCCTCAGTAACATTGGCAGATGCTCTTCGTCGACTTTCTCTTTGTATCCCCACGGGCATGTAAAGACATTCCCAAGTATTTTTAGCTCACAGTTCGATAAAAGAAGCTTTTATCTAAATATTATCTAATACAACAAACACAACAAAAAAAGTCATGTGCTCAAGCTATTAACGAAAGAGAAAGTCGACGAAGAGAATCGTTACTAATTGATAATCTATTATTAAAGCCCGATAGAAAGTAAATTTGGACGTATTCAAGTGATCATAACTCGAGAATTAAACATCATACACGGTTGATCAAAACGTCAAACAGCTTTCAAACGATACATAACAAGTTATTACATTCCACCGTTTCGAACGAACTGTCGCACTTTACTTGTGATCGATGCCATCATAATCTGCACAGTCGCTGGTGACACTGTACCGGGGAACTTATTCCACATTAAACGCATTTGTTGTGCATTTGTCACTTCTTTACCGCATCCTCGAAGTTTTCGCTTGACAGTATTTTTCGATCGGTCTGAATTCAGGGCAATTTGGAGGCAATTGTTTGCAGCATACCATTTTACTACCTCCTTAGAGTAGTGGCAGCTGGCTAGATCCGGCCAAAACATAACGTTGGTCTTGTGTTGTCGAATGAAGGGTAAAATCCACTTTTTCAGACTCTCTTTAATGTAAACCTTCGACGTGAGAGACGAGATGTGATGAAAACCTTGGTTTTAAGACCACAACTGCAGATTCCTTGCCAAATCATTAGTTTCCGAGCAAACTTAACAGCAAAAACAATTTTATACCTGGAAAGAACATCCCCAAGACCAGTTGCTAGATAAAATTTGCGTCCGGGGATTTGTTTATAATCCATTTTGACATAACTCCAATAAAAAACCGAAACTCCATTCAAATACAGCCATCAATTTTCGTCAAAACTCGTTCGTATAGTAATCGTGCTCGCTTTTTGGCCACTAAATTTTGTTTCAGGGAGCGATTCGGCACAAAAAGACATATCCTTCTCTTGACAGGATGTGACGCACGGTGGAAAAGTTGGAACTGTATTTCTTTGCCAAATCACGTATGGAGACACCTGGGTTGCTTTTCACGTCCCTAGTGCTACTTTTATGATAGATGCACTGTGCTCTATCCACACTCAGAGAATCCTTGTAACGTTTGATTACAAGACTGACTTTGAGAATTTTAACACTTTTGCTATTTTTGAGGCAGACCACGTTGCCAAATAGAATTGAGAATTGAAAAAAAAAATGTAATATTATGAATGTAGCTACGTTAACAGCCATACCACATGGTACATTAATCCGGTAGATTTGTATTCGGATACGATTTGCAGCCATCGATTGAATCATGCAGGAACTTTGTTGGATTTATAATTAGCATTAGCATTAGCATTAGTACCGAACAAGTTGCACAATATCGTAGGTGGTACGAATTCAAAACTATTAAGAGCAAGACGGATATCTTTTACTGAACACATAGTAAGTGGCGAACAGAAATAGTTTTTGCAGTACTACAATAATTATTAAAAGTCGTTATGACAGCTATCCATATAAAACAATCCTTTAGAGATTACTTCGTCAAGATACATAATTTGTCAATTCATAATAAAAATCACTGGATAGCTGTTCAAAAGACAGTTTTAACGTGTGAAATGCAGTGTTGTTTAAATTCTGTAAGTGTTGCAGAAAGTTTTATATGTCTAGGCATCGAATTGGAAATATTTATTTCTTTATAATATAATGAATTTTGTGAAGCACAAGTCAAGAAATGTGGTGTTCTTATATTTCAGCCGCGTTTTTAGTATTATATCTATGAAAGTCACTTTGTCTTTCAATTCGATCACACAAATATCGAGGCAGCAATCCGTCAACTACTTTAAAAATGAACACCATCGTCAAATATACAATTCTTTGCTTCACCAACAACCATTGTAAGGCATCTAGCATCAAAGTTGAGGAAGTTAATCTATTGCATCTCAAAATCAAACGCATTATTTATTCTGCAAGTGCTGTAATCTCGATATTTGTGTTGCATTGGCCAGAAATAAAATGGAAGGGCAAAAATCTAGATGCGGAGAGATGATTGATTTGTATAGCTGTATTTTACTGGCAATAGTTAAATCGTTTTTCAGTCGACATAGAATTCCATACTTCGTGGAAATTTTCTTGATGACATTGTCAATGTGAGAGTTGAACTTAAATGTGTCATCAATGATCACGTCAAGATATTTAATCTCCCGAACGCGATCAATAGTCTCATCATCAATTACAACAGAGACGTTCTCATTTACTCTATTCCGCGAAATTACCATAAATTTAGTTTTACTTGTATTAAATTTTAACTGCTTATACTTCAACCATCTACTTAGAGAACGCAAATCTTCATTCAAGTGTAAAACGGCATCATCTTAATCCTTAGCTGCAATGAATAACACAGTATCATCTGGAAAAAGATTAATGTC